ATCATCATCATCATCATCATCATCATCATGATCATCATATCATAATCATCATCACCATCACCATCACCATTACTACTATCATTATCATCATCATCATCATCATAGTCATTATCATCATTATCATCATCTTCATCACCATCATCATCATCATCATCTTATTTTTTTTTTTTTGTTTTCTTCTTCTTCTTCTTCTTTAATGAATTTTACTAAACGCTCGAGCACACAACAAACACATTAACTAGCTACGTATTCGGCAAAAAGGTCTCGTCTATGTGAATTTATTTAAAGAACTTAATTATTCGATATAACTAACGGTTAAGTCTTTGGTGTTTGTACCAATGATTTTTCTATTCTATATTCGATTTATGACGCTAATTTCCAAATAACGAACATTTAAAAATTCGTGTTTTTGTGTTGAATCATATGTTGAATCACGTGGCTGTAATATAAATCTATGTATACATACTTAATATCTAACTCGTTTATTTCTTAGTAGGCACATGCGCTTATCGTCAATCCTTGTATTTAATGCAATTAATAAGCGCTTTTCACGCGTTTCGTGTATCGTTTTTTTTTTTTTTTTTTTTTTTTTTATTTTTAATTGAACATATTTTCTTTTTTATACTTGTAAAAGACGAAACATAAATCGCTACTATTCATTTTAGGATTATTAAATCATTCAATCATTCTAAGGATAAAAGGGAGACGCATCAGTTTTACGTAAAACATTACTATGTGTATAAATTTCTTTTCCAAAACAGTCTTATCTGTTTAACGTAAATGCGAATATAAATGTTATAAAAATCATAATTGCTGTAAAATAGTTGGTATAGTTTTAACAATAATAATTAGAAAATGATAGAAAAACATTACTAAAAAGAAGGAAAAAGAATACACACAAAATATAATTGTGAATTTAAGTACTGTATAACTTTTAAATATAAATGGCAAATATAATCAACGTTTATTAATATCGCATAATTAATTTGACCGCAAAAGAAAAGAAGAGTGACACAATGGAAAATAAGAAAATGCTTTTCATTTTCTTTCAGTCAGTTTTTTCTGTTGCAAGCCAAATTATTATAACGCGAACATATATATATATATGTAGGAAGCATAAATTAAAGCATGATGATAAATAAACATTTGTAAACAATTGTATCCAATAAATCTACTTCTTTCTTTATCGGATAAAATAAAAACATTTGAATGTTTATATTCTCAAGTGTTACATTCATAACATTCCTATCATTTGTTTTTTTTTTTATTTTTTCCTTTCCCTTATAGTTTCTTTTCGCTTCTCTCTTTTTCCCTACGAATGATGGA